CCCCAAAACCCCAAAACCCCAAAACCCCAAAACCCCAAAAAATATTAAACTATTGAATAATTTTATAAAATGGAGCAAACCTTTAATCAGGACTTGAGCCATTTAAGGAGATATAACCAGATGCATCACAGTAACAACGAAGATAGGAATATAATACTTGCATCTAGTCGCCCAGAATCAACAGAGATCAGGGTAGACCATGGTAATATCTCTGGAAATTTCCAGAATCAAAATGGGTTTCATTTGCCTCAAATAAAATACAGTGAAGTCTATGAAGACAGATATATTGATGACGCTAATTATACAATTCAGAGAGACCATAACTTGCCTCATTTCGACTCTGATTCACACCAAAGAGGAGTGGCTAACCAGAGAATGCAGCTAATTGGTAATTTCAGGTTCAAATGTGCTTTCATAAAATATGAAACTGAAAATTATTATAGAGGAGCGTGAAGGACATCATAAGAAACAGAATATCATGGATCCGTTTAGCCATCTCCCTTCGAAAGCATTGTTAAAAGAAGCTGGATTCACTGAGCACGACATAAGTCAAGGGTTTTATGCTTCTAGTAATCATATTAGTAAATTTTTAATTTTTAACAGCTTCAGAGCGGTCAATATCTAAGAGGTACCAGAAATAACATCAGAGAGTCCCTCAAAGACGTAAAAAGTATAAAATAAAAGCCGTAGTAGAAGTAAGAGGTAATAAATTTCTTGAGATTTTTAGCAAATTACACAACAAGAGTAGAGATAAGCGGATCCCAAAGCTACACAAACGATATCTAAGTGGAGCAAACCAGATCGATCAGTCGACTACTCCATTTACAACTCAGAACAAAAACTCTGAGCTGCAAACCTCTCAGGATGAGAGAGGAATTAGCGATTATTTGGTACATAAAGAGTCTAATCCCTTCCAGAAGGATTATGACTCATTTATAACTGCTAAGAACTCTCAAGAAAATGGTAATGACGACTATGTTAACTCTTCTTATTTCTCAAAGCATAAGCCTAGTAACCAGACGAGAGATCCAAGCTACATTGACCAATTCAATGACAGTCCTGCTTACCTTGCTGTAGGTGAGGTTTCGTCAGACCCTATTCCTGATGAAGACAAAATGAAGGGACTTCGTGAATTCTTCAAAAAGAAAATAGTCAATGCTTACAACTCTATATATCACGAGCACTCAAGTAATTTGTTAGTCACCCAGTAGACCCAGGTTATGATACTCGTGAATCGTTGAGCAAAACTGAGAAGATGATCCAAAAGATAATAATTCGCGAATAAATAACAAGTCTAAGCAGAACAGTAGAGGAGACAAAAATAGGCTCAGGATTAAAATTAATGCTAAAAAGTTTATGGATGAGCTGATCAAAGAGAATAACAAAGTGCCCTTCCATCAACTTTTGGAGGAAGAGAAGTATAATACTTCTCAGTTAGAGACAAAGTAAGCTCATGTCAGTAATCTATAGGAGGGAGAGAAAGAAACAGCCCCGGATAAGCTCTCAAGGTGGGTTTAGTTACTATCCTGAAAACCTCAAGCGGCTTGGAAATAATAGCCTATCTGTTCCAAGAAATGGAGGGATTGGTAGGAATACCAGTCATAATTATACACAAAGAACTGAAGATAGGGTTCTTATCAATCCTCGAAATGAGTATGTCGAATAGTTGCATTTCTTGCGTTGAAATTTTGTTTATTGAACTCATTGTTAATCAATGTAGACTCCCCAATTTTAACTCCATTATGAGTGAAGATGACCTAATACTTGATGTTAAGCTGAAAAGAAATAGGAAAAACTCTCGTATGCAAAGTATTAGCAATACTAATTCTGCCAAGAAGCTCGAAAATCAGAATAAAAGGAATTTACCTATATTAGACCATAAACAAATTAAAAGAAAATCTAAGAACATTTCATGACTGTCTAAACGTAATTTTATGGTATAATAATCTCTAGAGCAAACTCCAAGCAATTCACTTCTCCAAAAATCCCACAAAATGCCAAAAATAAAACAACCTAGGATTAATTTCAATTCTAAACCCAAAGTTCATATCCAAAAGAGTATAAAACCTCATCTTCCTGCCAAAAAGTCTCACCTAAACACACCCAAACGAGCACGAAATAAAATCCCAACTATAAAACCTCCTTCAAAATTAAAGACAACGCCAAAGGCTAGAAACACAAGACCATCACGGCTGTTAATTCAAAAATCCCCACGAAGGAAGAAGATTCCATACAAAGTGGAACCTCGAGGCGCATCTCTTAATGCAAAGTTTTTGAAAAAGTACAAACCTAGTAATACCTCAAAACTCATGCTGGAATCTGAGAGGCACCAGGCATCCCTCAAACGTCTCCAGCAGTATCAGAAGGAGTGGGGTGAAGCCAAGTTCGATCGTAGTGAAAGCCACCTTCGACGTTGAGAGGCCTGTAGGCTCCGCAAAGCTAAATTTGACCAACAAAGGCTCAAAAAGCGATTTAAAAAATCAAATGGAAAGTACCTTGATACTTCATTCGTCCAGATTGACGAAGAATCTGAAGAAATTACATTAAGAAACCAAAGAGATGCATATTACAACGGATATACACTGTCAGAACAAGAAGTTATGCAAGAAGAAGAGAAAGACTCATTCCATACTGGAGAGAATACAGGGCTTAGGTTTACCAAAAACTCTCTTAAAAGAAAATGCAAGGAAGTTTGTCGCTGAATCGACGATTACAAAGCATCTCCTCGATATTCTGGTATCTCACCTAAGACAAGGAAATTGAAAGAAGCTGAAAAGGCTAAACTCTGATTCAGACCTATTCTAACTAAGAAAGCAAGAAATATCGTGGTAAGTTTTCATAATTCTATCCCTAGGAATCCAACTCGAAAGAACTGTTAGCTTTAAATAACAACTCAAGCGAAGAAGAACTCAAAGTAGCCCCTCCACAGTTGGAGATCGAAGATTCTCCTGAACTGAAGTATGTGAAGCAAAAGTTTCCAATTCTGAGTAACACTCAGCTCCAATCTAACAGGAAGAACCTCCTTATAAGCAAGTGGGAGGAAATGGCTAAGGAAGATGAGGAAAAGCAGAAGTTCGAACAAGACAAAAAGAGTAAAAAGATACATAATTTTACATAATCATTTAATCATAAATATTGGCTTTCTTTATCACAATATTTCAATTTCAGGAGAATAATGAGGGGTTTTGGGGTTTTGGGGTTTTGGGGTTTTGGGGTTTTGGGG